GATTTTTTTTCCTTTGAAACGCATGCCCACCTTCAAAGAGGTGGTCGTTACATATGACCATCCAGCCTCATGGCCTTAATCATGATGGATTTTTTCCTTGAACGCATGCCCACCTTCGAAGAGGTGGTCGTTACATACGACCATCCAGCCTCGTGGCCTTAATCATGATGGATTTTTTTCCTTTGAAACGCATGCCCACCCTCAAAGGAGTGGTCGTTACATACAACCATCCAGCCTCATGGCCTTAATCATGATGGATTTTTTCCTTGAATGCATGCCCACCTTCAAAGAGGTGGTCATTACATACGACCATCCAGCCTCGTGGCCTTAATCATGATGGATTTTTTTCCTTTGAAACGCATGCCCACCCTCAAAGGAGTGGTCGTTATATACGACCATCCAGCCTCATGGCCTTAATCATGATGGATTTTTTCCTTTGAAACGCATGCCCACCCTCAAAGGAGTGGTCGTTACATACGACCATCCAGCCTCATGGCCTTAATCATGATGGATTTTTTCCTTTGAAACGCATGCCCACCTTCAAAGAGGTGGTCGTTACATACGACCATCTAGCCTCATGGCCTTAATCATGATGGAATTTTTCCTTTGAAACACATGCCCACCTTCAAAGAGGTGGTCGTTACATACGACCATCCAGCCTCATGGCCTTAATCATGATAGATTTTTTCCTTGAACGCATGCCCACCTTCAAAGAGGTGGTCGTTACATACGACCATCCAGCCTCGTGGCCTTAATCATGATGGATTTTTTCCTTTAAATGCATGCCCACCCTCAAAGGAGTGGTCGTTACATACGACCATCCAGCCTCATGGCCTTAATCATGATGGATTTTTTCCTTTGAAACGTATGCCCACCTTCAAAGAGGTGGTCGTTACATACGACCATCCAGCCTCGTGGCCTTAATCATGATGGATTATTTCCTTTGAAACGCATGCCCACCCTCAAAGGAGTGGTCGTTACATACAACCATCCAGCCTCATGGCCTTAATCATGATGGATTTTTTCCTTGAACGCATGCCCACCTTCAAAGAGGTGGTCGTTACATACGACCATCTAGCCTCGTGGCCTTAATCATGATGGATTTTTTCCTTTGAAACGCATGCCCACCCTCAAAAGAGTGGTCGTTACATACGACCATCCAACCTCATGACCTTAATCATGATGGATTTTTTCCTTGAACGCATGCCCACCTTCAAAGAGGTGGTCGTTACATACGACCATCCAGCCTCGTGGCCTTAATCATGATGGATTTTTCACATACAGCCTGTCATCAAGGTTAATCCAGGGATTCCGACTATGTAAAGTTAATTCGGTAAACAGTAAATTGTAGAAACTTCAATACACCATTCCATTCATCATCGAGCAAAGCATGTCGTTACATTGGTGATAATGAGTAAAAAAAAAAAGAAGAAAAAATTTTAAGCATAATATTTCTTTAAGTTAGCCACATTCCATGACCTGGCTAGAGATCTTCCTTTAGCATCCTTTAAAGAGTATGCCCCTCCAGCATGGACCTTCTCGACCAGGTATGGTCCTTCCCAGTTTGGCTCTAATTTCCCGACGTGTTTCAGCACATCGACTCTCTTCCACACCAAGTCACCCACTTGGAATCTTCGTGTTTTCACTTTTCTATCATGCGCTGCTCGCATCCTTTGTTTGTACGCCTCGACTCTGATTGTTGTCTTTTCTCGAAGTTCTTCGATTGTGTCGAGCGCTGCCATCATTAGATGTTCATTCTGTTCTCGATCATATGTGCTCGATCTTTGGGACTGAACCTCGACCTCTATCGGCAACAAAGCCTCCATGCCATATACCATACTAAACGGTGTTTCCCCAGTGGTCGATCGGGGAGTTGTTCTGTACGCCCATAGCACCGAAGTAAGCTCATCCACCCATGCTCCCGATGCTTTCTCCAACCTTGTTTTCAGACCATTCAATATAATTCTGTTGGTCACTTCGACCTGCCCGTTGGCCTGCGGGTGTGCGACTGAAGCGAAATGTTGATCAATTTTCATGTCCTCGCACCATGCCCGAATCTGCTTGCCATTGAACTGGGTCCCGTTGTCCGACACCAACACTTTAGGAACTCCGAACCTGCAACATATGTTATCATATAGAAAATGTATCACTTTCTCCTCCGTGATTTTTGCCAGGGGTTCAGCCTCCACCCACTTCGTGAAGTAATCGACCGCGACAATCAAGAACTTCCTCTGTCCGGTTCCTTGGGGCATGGGCCCAACCAGGTCGATCCCCCATTGGGCGAACGGGATGGGAGAACTCATCGCTGTCATGGCTTCGGCCGGCTGGTGAATAAGTGGGCCGTGTTTCTGGCATTGCAAACACTTCCGCACCATCTCCTTGGCATCTTCTCTCATTGTTGGCCAGAAATATCCTGCTCTTAGAGCCTTTGCTACCAAGGAACCCGCCTTGTTGTGGTCACTGCAGCAGCCCTCATGAATTTCCTTCAACACATATCGCCCCTCTTCTCCGGTTACACATCGCAAGTGGGGGCCTGCGTGTGACCTTTTGTAGAGAATCCCTCCGTGCCCGAAAAATCTCCTTATCACTTTAACAGCTCCTTCCTTCAATTCTTTTATTATCGGTGCCCTTCAATCCTCGACTTCTTCTATCTCGACCACCTCCTTCTCGACCACACTCTTCTCCATGTGAAGCAAGGTCAAACTTCTGCTCTTGCAGTCCACCAGACTTTGTGCCATTTTAGCTAACAGATCCGCTCGACCATTTTCTCCTCTAGGTATCTGGATTAATTCGAAAGAATCAAACTCTCCCCGCAGCTTCTTTATCTCCTCCACATACTTCATCATCCTTTCTTCCCGGACCTCAAACCCTTCCTGGAATTGACCCACCATCAATTGTGAGTCTGAATGCACCTGCACTGCTCGAGCTCCGCCACTTAAGGCCAGTTTTAGTCCCTTAATGACCGCTTCGTATTCCGCTTCATTATTTGATATCTGGTAGGCCACCTTGATTGCGAACACCAGGCTGTCACCTTTCGGCGACATAAGTACGATGCCTAGGCCACCTCCAGCCCTCGACACCGAACCATCTGCAAACACTTGCCACACCCCTTCAGACTCCTCGCTCTCCTTCGTCCCCTCTTGTATAAAGTCAGCAAGTGCTTGAGCTTTAATCGCCCTCCTTGGCTCATAGATAATTGTGTATTCACTCAGCTCGACCGCCCATTTGACTAACCGCCCTGACACGGAGGGTCGACCCAGTGTTTCTCCCATTGGCATGTTCGTTCGGACCTTCACTCTATGTCCCAAGAAATATGGTCTCAACTTCCTTACGGTGACCACCACTGCCAAGGCCCCTTTTTCAATCTCTGAGTACCTCCTCTCTGCCCCTTGCATCACCTTACTTACGTAATAGATCGGAAATTGGGCTGTCCCTTCCTCCCGCAATAACACAGAGCTCACTGCCGTTTCACCAATGAATATATATAACACCGAGTCTCCCCTTGCGCCGGTTTTGCCAATAGTGGTAGATTGACCAACATCCTCTTCAACTCCTCGAATGCTTTCTGGGCTTCTTCTGTCCACTAGAATTTCGAGCTCTTCCTGAGTGTCTTCAATAGGGGCCCGCTTTTCTCAGCTACCTTAGAAATAAAACGGCTCAGGCCTGCTATTCGACCAGTTAAGATCTGCACCTCCTTCACCTTTGTGGGGGGCTGCATCTCGATCACCGCTCTCACCTTCTCCGGGTTAACCTCGATCCCCCTCTTCGTGACCATGTAGCCCAAAAATTTTCCAGATTGGACCCCGAACGAGCACTTAGCGGGATTCAGCTTCATCCCATACTTCCGGAGGGTCATGAATGTTTCTTTTAAGTCGTTCACATGGTCAATTTCCACTTTGCTCTTTACCAGCATATCATCTACATATACCTCCATGTTCCTTCCCAACTGATCCTTAAAAATTTTATCCACCAACCTCTGATATGTCGCCCCCGCATTCTTTAGACCGAATGGCATCACCACATAGCAGTATGTTCCACGGCTTGTTACAAAGCTGACCCTTTTCCAATCCTCTCGAGCCAGCGGGATCTGATGATAATCCTAGGATGCGTCCATCAAACTGAGTAGCTCACACCCGACTGTGGAGTCGACCAACTGGTCGATCCTGGGAAGCGGATATAAATCCTTTGGGCATGCCTTGTTCAAATCTCGCAAATCTATACACATCCTCCACTTCCCTTCCACCTTCGACACCATCACCGTGTTTGACAGCCATTCGGGGAACGGGATCTCTTTAATATGTCGTGCTCCCAACAGCTTCTCGACCTCCTGCTCGATGATCTTGTCCATCTCTGCCCCATGGTGCCTTCTTTTCTGTTTCACCGGCCTCACGCTGAGGTCGATGTTTAGCCGATGCTCGATCACCTCCGCACTTATTCCCGTTAACTCCTCTGCTGCATAGGCAAAAATATCAGCGAACTCCCTAACCAACTGGATCAGCCTCGACCGAATAGGCTATCCTAGATCCTTTCCGATCCTGAACTTTCTCCCTTCACACCCCTCGATCATTTGAATCTCCTCAACTTCTTCCCCAGGTTGGATATCCATTTTCTCCTTACCTTTCTCCACTTTTTGCTTGTCCTCCTTCAACCTCGATCCTCCTGGTCAATTAACCTCCTCCCCCTTCGACTCGGCCTGCTTCTTCGCCAATTGTTTGTTATTGCTTACTGTCATTTGGTAGCAACTTCTCGAAGCGAGCTGATCCCCGGCAATCTCCCCTACGTTTTCGCCCACCGGATATTTTATCGTCATGTGGTACGTGGATACGACCGCCTGGAATGCGTTCAAGCTCGTCCGTCCCATGATGATGTTATAGGACGACTCAGCCCCTACAACCACAAATCTCACCATGCGCACCTTCCTCAACTCTCCTGATCCCAATGCCACGGGCAAACTGACCTCTCCCATCGGCATAACTTCTCCCCCATAGTCGTAAAGTGCCGTGGTCACCGGTTTCAGCTCCATATTCAGCTCCTTGTTAATCTGCACAAAACAGTCGTAGAACATCACATCTACCGAACTCCTGGTGTCAATGAATATCCTTTTCACATCAAAGCCTGCAACCTCCACGGTTATCACCAAGGCATCATTGTGAGGCACCACCACCCCCACTGCATCCTCTGCCCGAAAACTGATTTTCGGCACCCGGGCCGTGATACTCACCTCTTCCCTCTTCCTTTTCATTGCTCGAACAAGTCCTCTCCTTGCATTATTCGAGTCCCCGTCAGTCGGTCCTCCTGAAATCATATATATTGTGCCTCTCTTTACTTGGCCTTCATCTCCTTCTCTTTCCCGCTCCCTACTTCCTCGCCTCCTCTTCCCCTCATCTCTTTTTTGACCATATCGACCACATCGTGCATCCTCATCATCATCTTCCTCGCTCCTCTCTACCGAGTCCTCCTGACATCTTCTCTTCTCCTTCCTCCTCCCCTTATCCTGATACACAAACTCCTTGAGATGCCCTGCTCGAATAAGGCGCTCAATCTCGTCCTTGAGATGCCGACAATCCTCAGTAGTATGGCCATAGTCTTTGTGGAAGCGGCAATATCTCCTCAACTTCGGTTGGGTGGGCCCCTCGAACCTTGACCTTGGCCACGTCACATCTTTCCCATCTATCCCTTTCTCCATGGCCATCAGAACCTCAGCTACCTTCGCGTTCAATGGGGTGTAATCATGGAATCTCTTCCCTCCAGAGATGGGTCGGTCCATCCACCTGTCCTCTCGCCCTCGATCCTGCTTAGCTCGCCCCTCCCTCCTGGGCGAGGTTTTCCTTTTAGGCGACACCGCTTTCTCCTTCCTCGACTCCCCTCGACCTAGCTATTCTAGTTTGGCAAACTCCGCCTCAATCTCCTCGAGATTGATATATTTCTTACACCTCCTCAACACCTCATCATACGTGTGAGCAGGAGTCTTAGCCAGAGAAGTCCGACACGGTCCCGCCCGCAAACTCCTTATCAATCCTCCCGCCTTGACCTCGTCGACCGTCGATGGAATCTCCAAACAAGCCTGATTGTATCGAGCGACGTATGTTCGTAGTGACTCCTTCTCGCCTTGTCTCATCGTCATCAATGTCAAATATGTTTTCTCCTGAGCCACCGCGCTCGAATATTGATTTGTCAACTTCTCCGCAAAGTCCTCGAAGTCCACTATCGAGCCTGGGGGGAGCTGTTGGAACCAGTCGAGCGCCCCTCCCCTAAGGGTCGATAAAAAGGCCCTGCAACTAACGGGATTAGTATATCCGTGCAACACAGCCATATTTTCAAATGTCCTCACGTGTCTCGACGGATCAGAAGTCCCATCGAACACCAAGTTGGTATCCTTGTAATTGTTTGGCAAGGGTGCTGCTAGTATGTCCGCCGAGAACGGGTGTCCTCGAGCGCGCCTCTCTGCTCGACCATCCACCTTAGCCTGCAATTGGCGCAGCTGTTCTGCCATCCTTTCCATCTCCCGGTCATGTGTGGGCCCGCCTCCACCATAGCTGGATTCATCCTCCTCCGCATTTTGGCGTGACCCTGCAATAGTGTTCGGCGTTGCCGTAGCCCGGGAGAGACTGTTTGTGACTTGCTGAACTGCTTGCGCGGCTGCCTCCGCCACCATCTGTTGCATCTCTTGCCTGGTCATTATCACCTGCTGGTCGGGGACCTGAACCGCTGCTCGCGGTGGTGCTCCTCCTTGGGCCACCGCTCTTTCTGGTTGCATCCCCGTTCCTCCCGGTTGCGCCACCGTCGTTCCCAGTTGCACTCCCACTCCTCCTAGTTGCGCTGTCGTTGAGCTGTGTGGTGGTGGTGGTGGCATCGCCGCCGCATATGCCGCGCGAGCCTCGTGAGCACGGTTGGGGCCAGCGTCTCCTCCGGGAATCGCCATCGCCACTCCCACACCTTGGAGCACAGGTACATGAGTGATCGGCGTCTGTGATGGGCCAGAAAAACCCGGGGGAGGACCCTGTCCCAACGGCCTGGTCGTTGTCCAAGCATCATCGAACGTTGACTGTAAGTTTTTGGGAATTCCGTCCGCCATAGCTGAGCTTCACGCACACCTTTTCAAACGAAAGTCCCACAGACGGCGCCAAATGGTAACACAAAACTTCTCGACCGGCTGGAACTTGAATAATCGCCTTCCTTCTCACCGGTTGAACGTCGTGCACCTACAAAGAACTCTCACACCGGAGGGGTTTTCCGGTGAAGAGCCTCTGAAGCTTAAGTCAGTGTATGTTCAATCAATTCTCAAGAGTAAGTAGTAGAATGATCGTGTTGAAGAAGAAAGGCTCGCCCCCTTTATATAGGGGTGAGATACCTGACCTAGGGCTGCCCAGATTTGATGAGCTGTCTGCCCTAACTGCCCGTCCGTACACACCAAACGCATGTGTCAGAGGTAGTCGTCGCCACTATCGCTTGCACCAATTCTCTTTGGACGCGTGTCCTCCTGCACATGGGGTAGGCTGTCAGAGGTGGTTATCGCTATCCACCACTGCTTTCTCGACATGTGTCCCCCTGCACATGCGGTAAATATTCTTCTGAAATTCTGTCAGAGGCTCCTCCACGCGCCTATGACTAGGCCGAACAGCATGGTGTTAAGTCCTCGAAGTAATCGACCTGTTGAGGTCGAATAGGTTGCTCGATCGTGTATCTGGTTGAAGGATAGTTTGGTCGACGGCTTTGCTTGGTCGACTGGTTAACTGCTCGATTTCTTTGACTTTCTCATAATACGACCTCCTCGACCGGTCAATAGACCGGTTCAGCCTTGTGGGTATAATATCCTATATCAGAGAGGAACCAATCAGAGGTGGCAAAACCCTTATCAAGTTTTTCCTCAATAAAGCCTTCTGCATCACGATTGTTGCCCCATGTAAATTGATAGCCCTCCATACAGATCTCATCTATTTCCATATTAGTGATGAAGGAATTGAATGCATGAAAACTGCTGGCTAGTCTGATCCTCCCTCCCTTCTTGTCCTCCATAGAACATAAGTCGTTCCAGTCACCCATTATGAACCAGTGATTACCCCAAGATGTCTTATCCTCCTCCAAAGTCAACCATTGAGAAGCTCTAATAGATCTGTCAGAGTTCATGTATACAAAAATGCCCCAGCCCTGGTCTATATTATTAACTTTGAAATGAGAGGCAATATAGAACTCTTTGGTGATCAACTGAATGATTTCTACTTCCGGTTTTCAAAACAATACTAGGCCCCCACTAATACCCCTAGGGTCAACTATAGCCAATCTGTTATCAAAGCCCAGTTCCCTACTAATAGATTTAATATAAGTGCTAGATTTTTTTTGTTTTAGAGAGAAAAAACAAACTGGGGTGGTGAGACCTTATTGTCTCTTTGATTTGAGAAATTGTAGAGGGCCCACCCAGCCCTCTACAATTCCACACCGCAGCTAGCATTGATCAC